TTGAGGTCCTTCAAAAAATCCAACCCCTGTCAACAATTTGAAAATTAGCGCGCCTCAGCCTTGCGTCCGCCTCGCCTCGCCCTTGCCTTGATCCAGCTTGTCATGTTCCAGTCCAACTCCCATCATCAAACATCAAAATGTCGGCTTCATTGGCTCCAGAATGCAATGAGGTAAAGGAGTAAGTTGTGCAAGCACTGTCAATCTTTGCATTTCTAACCACGATTTAGACGTTATGATTCCTGCTTCTTGAAATGGTATAGTGAAAGTTGGTCATTCGCCTCCTCTCATGCACGACTGTAACTCACGATACATCAGAGTACCTCCGTGGTCAAGGTACTACAGATGAATGTGCACCTCTTTTCAAGGACTACAAGAAGTGCTTGACGGTAAGTTAGATGAGATCCTCGTGTGAATGCATCTAAGTTGGATAGACTGCTCTAAAAGAACGTGGAATCGACAAAATGTTGGAGGAAGCTCGGGAAGATCACAAAGAGAATGATGCTGCTCTTATGCGTCGGAAGTGTTAGTAGATCTCTCTATTTTCACAGATCATAGCTGACCCGAGTTCTGTCATAGAACCTTTGCCTAGGTCTAATTGCTTAAAGTGTTCTCGATTTGTACTTGTAGCGGCATCGAGATGGCGTTTAGGGTGGGACTTTACAATGAGCCAGACTCTTCTCTGTTCGCAACATGGGAGGAAACAGGTGGTTTGCATACTTGGAGTTGCCCTTGTGGACTGTAACACAATATATTTCTCCCGCATTCATTCTACCCTGGCCTGGTTGGATCCTCTGTTCTCAAATGTCTCTAAGTTATGGCTATAGTAGGCAAAACCCAGTGTTTCTAACAACGCAAGGCAATTACCTAAGATTAGATATGAGATGGGGAAGAGAAATGGATGGACAATAGAGCTTTGGTCTAAACGTAAGCCTTGTTGGATCTGGAGATATTCCGTCTCTGTGGGGAGTTCTCGTATATTTCATCACACACTTTGGATGGATCGATGATTTCATGAGTTTGGAGCATCCAAACAAAATCTGCCAGGGAGAGGTGATCGGGTAATATAATAAATGGCATGAAGTGTGTAAATATTTTGAGAGAAAGCAGAAGTTCGAACTGGGTATTATCCGACAACGTGACGAGGCTTAATTTCTACCCCTGTAAGGGTTGCGCCAGAGACGGGGAACTTTGAAATTGCATTTATGGATCAGCCTCCTCTTCTCTGTACTACTTTACAGCATGCCCAGAGCCTCGTCTGCTCATCGTTAACATGGGAGAGCTGTTTCCAGTTTGATCATACCGTCACAATCTCTGCGATCTCTGCCTATCTGCAATTGCGAAACTTCCAAGCACCAGCCACGATTTCAAAGCTCCCCGTCTGTGCAAGCTGTTCTGTCGGCTGCTCCCACAACCACAGCCAGACAGGAGCAGAGTACCACCCACAAGAACGGTGATGCTCAAGCAACCGGCAGAGATTCATGCACCCCTTCTCAATCCTCACTCTTGCGATCTTCGTAGCCGGCTACATCACTGCGAGGTGGGATCTTGTTACCAGACTTTATGACCTTGCGATATTCGCCTGGGATCACGGAGTCGTCGTAAGTTCCAGAACTCCATCAAGCTTCCACAACTACTTCTAACGTCCAATTCCCAGGCACGTACGGCAAAAGGATTCGCTATTCTTTCCTTGTTCTTCTTCTTATTCATAATTCCTGTGGAAAGGCTCGCCTCGAGGGAAACAGATCTGGTGGGAACCTACCTCCTTTGGCGCATTGGACATATCTAATACAACTGTAGCACCCAAGAGCTGGAAGTGCAGGAATATCTGCTAGGGAACAACTTAGAAGAAGGGGATCGTTTTAGGGACCCGTACGGAAAGAAGAAAGCTGTCATGCCCGAGCATGATGGGCTCATGAGGATATTTTGGCCCCTGGACATACCGAAATCCGACTCTCCAGGAGTAATTGTAGGATGGAGGAATTCGGGGCTGGATGTGTTCGTAGTGGCAATACTGGAAGATGTCGACGTGAGTAGTGAAAATATTGTCAGCCAGAGATTGACTGACATCGAGCCAGGCACGAAATGTAGAGAATGCTCTGAAAGTTGGGACACTCTTTCGAAATGCCACACATCCAATCGCACGGATACATGAATTATGTGGACAGTCGTCAATGCACGTTCTAGGACTCGCAAACACCCCAGGAGTCGAGGTTGAGAATTTGCAGATGCATGCAGCCACTGGACCGAGTATTAAAGTTCCCCAGATATCCTGCGCAAGAGCATCCACAATACAAATTATTGTGTTTGACAGACCATTACCTCATCGGATGCAGTACATATCGTTGAACCCGATTTCTTTGGCGTTGGGGGACAAGTCCGAGATTGCAACTCATGCGCCAGGAACCGTAGACGCAGAGGAAGAGCGTGAAGAGCTGAAGAACAGGAAGAGAGTGAAAGCCTTGGTCGAGAAGTTAAAACTTCATACTGTCAGCAAACACTCTGCTTCGCCAAAGGAACTGGCCCTCCCAAGAATCGTCAATCAAATCAACTGTTCGTCGGAACTGCACTCGCTCCTTCAAAGGAATATCTCGCTTGTTGGTAGACGGTCTCGGCGAAGTTTGAGCGTGTCAGAACGCGTTGTTGAATCTGCTACTACCATGAGAGACTTCGTGGTACTTGCCATTTGGCAGATGGTCACTGTCTACCTCTACCCGATTGTTCGGCGGGCCTTCGTGATTGGACTACTGTGCCACCGAATAGCTGCTGAGACTCTGCTTCTTATTTTGGAATGGAGAGCCAAGCCCGACTATGCTGCGTTAAAGGATGTCTCAGCAACAGCTCAGCAGGTGGAGATCCGTTTACAACAATTTTGTTACCTCCCGATACAGTAGTGTAAGTACTGTGGGAACCAACACTTTCTATTCTCAATGTCTTAAGATGTTCTGGAGACATTTCTTTGTTACCATTTCCATATTACCTTTGATGTGGTAGTTGCTAATTCGTCGCCATGCAGGAGTTCAACCTGACCTACAATCTGTGATTATGGTGCTATGCTACGGCTCTTGCATGTCACCAAGGCTTCGGAGAACTTTAAGAAAGAATTTAGCTGACTCGTTCGACAGCCTGACATTGCGGAGGCGAAAAGATGACTGGGAGAGTGTCACGACAAGCCATCCAGACTACATTAGATTCTACAACTCACTCTGGCTTGTTGCCAATGTAAGAACAAGTCTCTAGATCTTTGAGCCATGAATCATAACGACTAATTGTTTCGACTTAGGATGTCATAATAGGTATTGCCCTCGGAAGTTACATAATTGATAATTCTACTTGGGTAGCTGAGGCCATCAGTGAGATCCTTCGGCTATACTCGATTCAAGCTCTGCAACGAACCATCTTCTGGTTGATGTATTGGCCGTATGAAGCCCGAAATCCCCCTAGACTCTACTGCATGTACTGATTTCTCACCTTTAGTGGAGGGTTGAAGCTCAACAATGAGTTGGCTGCCTTTCTTGGTGATCTCTTCCTTTGGGTCATCGACCATTGGAGCAGTAAGTTGATTGTTCTCTTAGTGAAATTCATTACTGATGTATCACAGGCTGTATTGAGACTCTGAGACCTGTCCTGCCTCATATCATTTGGTTCATCGGCTTCTCCAGCTTTGCAGGCGCCAGCATGCCGATTGCTCTCTTTTCGGATCTGCTATCAATACTGACCCTCCATATATACTCGTTCTATTTGGCCTCTGCCCGGATCTTCAACTGGCAGTACACCATACTACTATCGCTCTTCCAGCTTTTCCGAGGCAAGAAACACAATGTACTCAGAAAACGTATCGACTCTTGCGACTACGATCTCGATCAACTACTTCTGGGCACGATATTGTTTACGCTCCTCTTCTTCCTGTTACCTACTGTGATTGTATTCTACCTCACTTTCGCATGTGCACGCATGGCCATCATCTCCCTGAAAGCTGCTCTAGACACATTACTTGCTTGTCTGAATCATTTCCCTCTCTTTGCATTGATGCTGCGGATCAAAGATTCTCAGCGACTTCCAGGTAGTCTCGTCCTGCTATTCTCAATAGATGTGTTCTGACATAAAGTAGGCGGCATCCGCTTCGAGCTTCGAGATGCTCAGCTCATCACCTCTTCCCCAAATGGACTCACAGTACCACCAACTTCACACATCTACCTCAAAGTAAGTATGAACTATCTCCAAGATCAATGACTCTACTGACGAACTACAGTCTGTCCCCCTCACTTTCCGTGCCATGTTCCACCAGTACTTTCAACTTGGACACCGAATACGGAAGCATTACATGTCACCTCGCGTGTTACTTGGGCTTGCCACTGGGAAATTCGTACCTCCCATCCACCGCAAGAATCTCTATAGCCTACAATATAGCATGCTACCAGCTAGGCGCGCTGGGGTCATGGAGATGTGGCATGCTTTGACGGCAGAGGTACCGAAGAAAATGAATGCATATGACTTGAAGGTCAATGGGAAGAGGCTGAATGGGACGAGGAGGCAGTATGGGCATTGACAGATGGGAACGGTGATGATGAATGAATAACTTCTTGTATATACCAGGCAACTGTCCATGAGTGGTAGTAATGATAATCTATGGAAAAGAAGGTTCTCGTCAGTGACTCGGCTGTCATGTAATTGAAAGCCTTCCAGTCAGTTGGATATGGATTGTGCAGTAACAGCAATCCTGCTCCTGCAACATCATGATGCTCTTGCGAATTGGAAGAAATGTTAAGCCGGAGGACAGCTTCCTGAGAACGTAAACTTGGCCCTCTGTAAAGCCGTCTGCTCTGTTTTAAGTGAGGGCTCGAGAGGATCAGATTAAGTCAACCAATGCGCACCCTTCGCTAAACCAACGTCCCCACCACACCCACCACACAAGTTTGAGAATTGGAAAAAAACGTTAGATAATGAGTAGTCAAATAAGCACTTCCAATTATATATTACACAGTCCCAGCTGTATGATACAGTCTTCTGTGGCGCAATTGGCTAGCGCGTTCGACTGTTAAACACTGCAATCGAGAGGTTGGAGGGTAAGCAGTCAATGTGGATCGTTCAGAAGCTTGAAACTAATAGTTCTTCAGTTCGAGCCCTCCCAGAAGAGAAATTCTTCAAACTTTTGCATTTTTATCTTTCGTTTGGTTGATCTTAGTTATTACTCTTAGTTATTACTCGGATAGTAAATGGATACAAGGGAAATAAATCCCGGGATTTTTCTTGAATATTCCTAGAGATACATAGGTATCTGAAAGGGCTTTCATTAGGCAAGATATCGCGAAAATAGACCGAGCGAGTCTCTTCCGTTTGGGTTTCTCTCTTTTTGGCCTGCTTCGGGAATTTACATGGTGTTTTTCCTGAGACGGCGATAACCGAGACGTAATGCCAACTAATGCAGCGTTGTCAAATATCTCTTTGGCAAAGAGGCAAGAGACGCAAACACGAGGACTTTTAACGCCCTTCAAAATTGGAGCTTTTCAGAAGTGAATCAGCTAGGTCATCTCTGCACAAGAAAGGGACATGCAAATTGATTATTCGAAACATTAAATATCACAACGCTATGTTATCCAGGACCTGGCAGAAAAACACACCACTTTGCAACTATTCAGAACCGGAATCCTGTTGCCACATCTCGGTACTCATGCTGTTCGATTAGACCATACATGGACTTCAACTTCTATAGGGATCTAAGGACCTCTTGGCATCATTCACGCTGGAGAAATTGTTTGAAAGTGCTGTGTATTTCTTCGGACTTTGCTAAGTGGTCCTCATAGCCTGTGGGTGTTGAAATTTCTGCTCACAGGATGATATGAAGCTCGCCGTATCACACGAAACACTCCCGGGCCGCCACAGCATGGCATTCAAAGATCGCAATCCGGTATTTCAAAGGTTTGGTTCGCATTGCCTTATTTCGGACGGGTCGCTGGGTTGCTTACATGCCTTCTAAATCGTGGAGTCGCCACCGAGAATTCCAACATGGGTTGACTGCGGACTCTTCTTTCTCCTTGTGCCGAAGATGGCCTCGCTCCCGGAAGTCTGGGTGTCAGAAACATATGCGAGCTTTCATCAACGGGTAAGGTTGATGAACTCTCTTCCCTGTGTGGCAAAGGTGCCTGCGATCTGTCATCATCATCCTCGTCTTCATCCTCTCCAAACATGCTCTTCCAAGGCCCTTGTGGTATAGGCGCAGAATGAGCATGTGCTCGAAGCCGACTGTTCTCCTCACAATCTACAGCAGCCCACAACTTCTGGGTTGCTCTTGCTCCTTCGTCCAGGATGTCTTCGGTGTCAACGTCATAAGTGAAGGTTGGCACAACATCAGGAGTTGGCTTCAAAGGCGTAATGTCGTAGTATGGGCGGGTCGGTTTGATGGGAATCATATCCTTCATCCATGACAAGGCAGTGGCAGAACTGGAAGGCCTTGCTCTGACCAAGGCTTGGGAAGTGCCAAAGTCGGGAAAACTCCACGTAGAAGGCACCTGGGTGCTAAATCTCTGAGGGATTGGAGCAAACGGCGTTGGGAATGAAGTCTGGCTCGAATTGACGCTTGCGAACGAAGCCTGCGATGCTTGGGGACGCAAATGCAGTGTACCTGAGCTCCTGTCTTCAACGCCCTGTAGGTTGCTTGTGACAGATGTCCGGCTCAAGTTTGAGTTGGTTCCCAGAGTTTGGGGAATTCGTACAGGCCGAAGTGGCATTGGAGGCAACACATCCCCGGGATCCACCGTTGTGTATGGACCAACGGAACCATTCGAAATCCTCCGAGAGAGTTCATCCATAGCTATGATTGTCTCTTTCCTCGTCGATTCAGATACCACAATGAGTTCCAAGGGATTGATCTTCTCCCCCTTCGACAACTTCCCTGCGACATGTCGAGACAAGCTTTCAAGAACGCCTTTGTCAAACTTTGCTCGTGTATCTATCAGGACATCGATACATATTCCTATTTAATGTAAGTAAGTGGCTTTTACGTTGGTTGTGTCGGGATTTACTATCTCCTCGATCGAATCTTGCTCCATGTTGCTGCAAGCACTGGTTGAACTTGTCTTCTATCGTCGACTTCCCTTCTTCGAACGATGTTTTGCACTCTTCTTGTCCCACGGCCTTCTTTCCAGCTCTTCCTACACGCCACTTCTGAAAAACGTCCAAAGCTTCAGAAAATTGATGGACAATTGAAGAAACACCCGACCGAACATCCACGATTGGTGTGGGATCCATGATCAATTGAGCACAAGTACAATATCTTTCAAGTTCTGCAAGTTCGAGCCTTGCCGTCAAAGAGATCCCGATTTGCGGCTGAGGTGTGGACGCAATTTCGCTGCCGTTTGGCGTGCAGCATCACACCGCATGAACTTCCCCTAAAATAAATCTGCAACGAGGCTGGCTTGTCTTGTGCAAATCAAAATCCGACACATGCCAATATCACATTTGGTGGCTTGTTTGGCGTTTTGATAGTGCATAATCAATACTCTTCTGACTTGAATCCCGAGCCTGGCCTCTTTTAGGGCAGGAGGCGCACTGCACAGCTCTTACTGAGCCTCTCAGGTCTCAGCCCACGAACTCCTGAGTATATTCCCATTAATTCTCCCTCTTTCATTTGTTCGATATATTTCCTGTCTACCTGCTTTGGCACTTTCTATTGTCTAAAAAGTTCCCTGAGGCTGTACTACATATTTTCAGCCTCAGCCTGATCAGTAAACTGCCGTTTCTGAATGTCACACGGGCTTCTCTAGTTTAGTGCTCAGCCCAAGGCAGATTCGAAACCAGCATGTTCAGATACTTCTGTTGAGTAGTTCAAAAGACAACAATCTGAGTGAAAGTGTCATCCAAGTTTGACGACATTGGAATATGGCTGGGCGAACCGAAATGCCAGCTGGTGGTAGAACTCTCCGAGATCTACCGAGCCAAAGATCACACACCTATCACCAAGAAGACATGGACGATCAGAATGATGGGGCTCAGCCAACATACCCTATGCCAGGAAGGACCACATACCGCAATTCTGCTGGCAAGAACCTGAATGTCGGCAATGCTAGAAACAATTCCTGGGAAAGAGAGGACGAGTCTCGGAATATTCAAGGGCCAACACATCACACAAGACCATCACCAAGGCATAGCAGTCAGAACAATGTACCAATCGATGGCAATGAGCCTCAATATACGCAAAGACCGAGGCAGTTCTCGGCAACAAGGAGAGAAGAGCAAGATCCCGCTATCTCAGACTGCGATCGAACTTCGGACTTCCAACATCGATCTGGATCCCAGAGACAACACTTTGAGGATAACCTCTCACCCTACTGTCCTACCAATGTAGGAAAACACTATGATTCTCACGGTTCACGCATGCCAGAGGAGCATTCTCGTTCACCGGTAGATGCCGGCTTCAACGATAACTCGGCCGCAGATTCAAGTCCGTGGTCCCGGAGAAGAGGCCAACGACACAGCTCGCCAGCACCGCAAGAGCTGGATGCAAGTCCCAGTCCACAAACTGAGACACAATGGTCATCGAGGTCTGATGTTCAAGACTACATGTCGCAACGCCAAATCAATCGTGAACCCGCTCCAAGCATACGACCAAGTCCACGGTCTCCTGGTATTTATACTGGACGAAATAGTTTCCGTACAATGGAAGATGAATCCAGGGCCCAAGAAATCCTTCTTCGGGATAAGGATGCTAAGATTGAGAAGCGGTCATCACTCAGGCGCTTCGTTACGCCGAAGTCCAAACGCACTAGCTTCAGTCAAAGAGAATTATTCCGGGCTATCCAATCCGTTATTGACGGCCACGAAACAGCCGGACCTGGAGTCGTCGAAGTTCTCTTAGGAAAATTCACTAAAGCAGGTGGGGATATCAACACCATCCCTCAACAGAGCAGTGCACTTGGAGTCATGTCCAGAAAACGCCCTGATGAGCCAAGTAACTTTCTAGAGAAAGCTACAACTGGTGGCGATGTTGAAGTCGTGCAATTGCTGTCACGACATTCGAATAGGACAGCGAAAAATAGAGCCTTGGAAATAGCGCTGCAGAATCGAAACACAACAACTGGTCGAGACACAACGAAAGAGGATCGGATCATCTATATTCTAGTTTCGGATGGTGCCGCTGTAGATACCACAATTGGTTCCGCTGTAGCCGCTGGCGATGAGAACCTACTGCACATGTTACTTGAGGGTAACCCTCCTGTCCCAGCGCTATCGGATGCTTTGCCAGTTGCAATCGCTACGCGAGACACCATTCTTCGCCGAAGGCTTGCACAGATACTGCTTCGCAAAGGTGCGGATGTCAATACTCGCAATGGCCAGCCCATCCTAGAAGCTACAAAGCTGTTCGACATGGTTCTGTTAGACATGATGTTGGAGCGACGTCCGCATGTCACATCATTGAATCGAGCTTTCACCGTAGCTTTGAGCTACAATGATTCCAACCATCGATTCGAAGCTTGCCAAAAGTTGATCAATGCTGGTGCAATAGGCGAAGAAGTCAACAAGGGTCTTACCATCGCTATGACCATCGAGCACCACAACATCGACTTCCTGATGTTGATCCTCCGTAGCGCCTCCGTCGACTTTGAGAATGGCCATGCTCTATGCCAAGCTGTAACAGGTAACTATCAAGAGCATTTGAAGCTGTTGCTCGCTAAGCGTCCTAACGAGCTTTCATTTGACAATGCCCTCGAATCTGCGATGAGATTGCGAACTCCCCGTGATCAGTTGAAGTACTGTCACCTCTTAGTAGGCGCCGGCCCACCACGAAATTCATGCTCCAAAGCTCTGCTGCTAGCTGTCGCGGGTCAGAAGGATGAGCTTTGCAGAATACTCCTGGAAGCAGGAGCATCTGTGGACCTTGATGGAGGTGCATCGATCACAGCTGCAGCTCGTTCCGAGAACATTGGCATCCTGGAACTGTTAATTGGAGGAGAATTTCAGCAGCCTTACAGCGCTAGTTTGGTTGGCGCTTTCGAGGTTTCTCTGCTGTCGGCATCGCCTTCCGCGAAGAAGATGAAAATCCTTCGTCTCATTCTTGATGCCGGTTTACAGGGGCCACCTCTAGATACGGCACTGGTAAATGCAACGAAGCAAGGCCAGGAGGGTCTAGCCATGTGCGAC